TACGAGGCATCCTTCCCCTGCAACTATTTCTCACCTTATAAAACATATCTGCTTTGTAATACTTTAATTCGAGCCTACACTAGTTTAAGCTGTAAGAAATGAGAAAGCAACTCCAAATTAAAACAGTATCCTTCAATTTACTAGATACTACCAAAGCCAATAAAGCCCTCACCCTTACCTGCTTTCCTCCTGCCATTGAATCTAGGATTAAAAAAAATTTCTAGAGAAGTTGTCAGCTGTTCATCCACACATGACATTTTAGTTTTGCCAGAACTTTTCCAGGTTTCACTGCACTGCTGTGTGTCCCCATTCCTTCCTGCCTCCAGGGTGTTGCTGAAAGAGAAGGGGAAACCTGCTCCTGGACCACCAGTGCAGCAGCCCCGGGGCTTGGCAGGTCTGTTTGGGCAAAAACAGGAAACTCCAAAACTGTTTAAAGCGATGTTTGGAGCTAAAGGAAAAGGAGGCCTTGCTAAGCTGCTGCAGCTGAAGAGAGAACAAGACATTCAGGTAATGTCACAGATAACAGAACAGATTCTGTCAAGTGCTGGGTAGAGAAATAGGAAATATACTGGGAGGCTTGGGCAAATGGAACAGATGGAAACACAGCTTTAGAGCAACGAGTAGCAAAAACTCCAAGTAGCTGAGATACAGTCATGGTAATTAATCTCTGTAAATTTGGACTGTAGAATTTGGCTCAAATCTTTCTTGGTCTGAACCCTAGGAAAAACAGAGAAAAACAAGAGCAAGGAAAACATAAGCAAACATAAACTCTCAAGAAAAGAAAGGATAAAAGAGACACTAAAAGATACTAAGAGCATCTGATCTTCTAATTTTATACATACAGAAGTGAACACAACTGTCCAAATGCAGTAATCCTATCCAGCTGACTGAAGCATAAAGAGAGCTTTCCAGTTCAAAGTCAGACCTTTGCTAATAAGAAATCTTGAAAACAACATTTCAAGTAGAGACCACACAGCTAGATCTGTTTAAATATGTGATACTGTGCATTTATGAGAAAGCTTACTTCAGTTGATTAAAAAAAATTCCTACCTTATATTCTGTTTAGAGAAACATTCATATTAGTAAGAACCTGTTCAGTTTTAAGTATTTGCCCAGAAGAGGCACAATACTTTTCTGGCTTTTATAGCTACTGTTGGGCCGTGTTTCTACTGTCTTTTAAATGAAATAAAGGACTTTGCTTAAATGAGAGACTACAATAGCAAGACTGAAGCAGAAACTTCACCAAATTTAACGCATATTTGCAAACTTTAGCACAAATAGGCTTGGCCAAGGAAATGAGGCACTGGAGAGTATGTTGAGAATCACATAACACTTTTTCTTTCTATACCTGCATAAGTGCATAAAGGAAGGTGAGACCTGAGGAAAGGTTTTGTTCACCAAAGCTTGCCTGTTTTGTCCAGCTGTATTAATGAGAAGTAGATACTATCGCTACCAACAAGCTCTTCCTAGTTTTATTGTTTTCTGATCTTGAAACAGTATTTTTCACATAGAAACTGATTTTCAGCAGCTGAATACAAGTTTATATACAAGTTGAGTCCTATTAATCTTAGTATCCCATGCCATGCTTTACCACTGTATATACAGTGCAGAATTTTTTCCTGAATTTGTTTTGCAGCATTGGAAAACATTTAACATTTTGGTTATAGGAACATGAAGCTGAAGAGCAGAAGACTGAAAAAGAGGAGAAGAAACCACCAGAGCCTGCAGCCCCATCTGCACCCCCTCCGAAAAAGGAAGAGCCAGAAGCAGACACTAAGCCTAAACCACATGCAGTTATGCACAGAGGAACCACTAATGAGTCTCTGATCATCACTATGTCTCCTTCCCCCAGAGCAGGAGAAGGAGAGATCCTTAAAGTCGAAGCTAAAGAGAAGAAAAACAAATAGATGGTACTTTGGGCCGCGTTTTGTTGAACTCGAAGGGCTCAGTGTGACTTTGCCTTTGGGTACAGAAGATAGAAATAGAGGCTACTCAAGAGAGAATCTACCCCAGCCATTTTTCTTCCCTCCTCTCCTGAGGCAACGGGACAAATTGTACACTTACATCTTAATCTTGAGTCTGAAGAGAGAACTGCTTGTGTAATAGGAATTAGATATCTGATTGCATTTCAGAACAGCTTGCTTCTTGGTTGATCTATGCTCTCCATTATCTCTTACTCTGCCTTGTTCCTGCTTCTCCTTTTCCCTCTCCTGTTTATTCTCTCTTTCTTATTATTTTTCCTCTTCGTTAGTTTGCTTGTAATTTTCATGTCTGTTCTGCTCTACTTTCTTTTCTGGTTTCCTATAGCTGTCCTGTTCCTTGTTACTTCACTGCTATTGCTGAGGTTACTCACGTTTCTGTCAATCCTTCTCTCCCCTCCCCTTATACTTCTAATCAGCGACACGCTTTTGTGACAGCATTGGTCAGCACAGAAGGCTCTGATGCTCAGCATTAGGATGTCTTAGCTCAGGACAGACAGTTACAAAATAAAACCATATAAATAAATAAATACAAAAATCACAACATACAATATGGGGAATCGGGCTGTGTAATTACTGCTAGCTTCCTGAAAGCAAAAGCATCATTCCAGGTGTCTGTATTGACTCTGGTGAGTTAGATCAGCAGAATTAAGATACTTCCCACATGCCCTTGGGGAGCAACCTTTAACTTTTGGTTGTTGATTTACACACTTCACCTTCTCAAGGGGTTGGATATTAATACTGCTCTCTGAAGAGCAACCATTTGATACCGGCTAATTTTTTTGAAGAACCTCTTATCTAGAGTGGCCAATTTAGAAATAAGAGCAGTTTTATAATAAGCAAGATTTACACTTTTTGGCCATGTGCTACACAATTCCAAGAGGCTGAATGCTCCAGTTGTTCATTTCCACCACAGATCTCACCTGACAGCAACAAATGAGCCACACACCTTACAGGGTGGGCTACATCATACCTATGAACTAAAGCAAATTGCCTAGAAAGCTCTCTCAGCTGTGTCACTGACAAGAAGCTGCCAACGTCAACCTTCTGCACAGACTCAAAGCAAAAAGGGATATAAATTATATAAAATATATAAAACAAAAAGATGAAGCAGTGTTTTAAGCTTAATTCTCAACTGCTTCCATTTTACACTTAACATGTTACAAATATCTAAAAAAAACAAAAAAAAAAAAAAAAAAAAAAACAAAAAAAAAACACAAGAAAACCCTCCCCAGTAACCGTCTAAATTCTTCTATGAGTTTGTCTCCTCTCCCAGCCTACTTTCAGTCCCCAGTGCAAGCATAGTACTGGGAACTACAATCATTATCCAGACGCCTGCAAACAAGTCATAAGGGCAGATTTTACAGCTGAACTGTTCCTCAGCTGAACAGACAACCATGATACAAGGAAAACACCATGCCATAGTGGAAAAAAAATACCTTCACAGGCTATTTATGCTCACGTGGGCTACAAATTTTGCAAGTCTATCCTATAATGCCTTTGAATACAATCATAGGCATAGCTGCAGAATCTGTGGGCATCTTGGCTGAGGAAAAACTAGATGACTGAATTCTGTATATTCTAAACAACCTACGACATGGCTGAAAAACAAATCTCTCTCAAAAAGAAAATTCTGTCATATAAATAGTGAGGTCAAGGTTTAACATGGGAAGAACCATCTTCATTGGTCTGTCATATGCTATTTGATATGCAAGAAAAGAAAGGATGCCACGTAATGGTACAAAATGGTATCACACACCAATAAATGAGTAGTTCTTTGTGTCCATCTGGGACACCTCAATACAGGATCAAAATGAGAAGTACTACAAGACTGCTTTAAAATGCGAGGCCTACTATGAATATTAAAGATCTATTAATTCATTTCAATACACAGCTCTTAAATGACTTTTTGAGGGACAGTTTTCAAAACATTGAGTGGGAAAAGCACATAAACCCCCATATGTTTACATTTTGATATTGATGAGTGAAGCAAAAAATACAGTCCCCTTCCACCAATACAAATTCTGTCAGGTCTTCAAAACAAACACTACCATGGTTGGTAATACTGAAATTGAACCACGTGTTTTCAAATATTAAGGTCTGAAATGGCAGCAGTGGATGTCGCACTGGAGCAACAGAGCTGCTGCTTCACTACAGCTCTTAGCAACTGGGGTTTGCAAGGGGAGCTTGCCAGTTCTGTCTTCAAAACTAGCTATGCAAAGCTCTCTTGTTCCTTAGATCCCAAATGAAAGTGTCAGTGCTTAAGCTCAGGGCTACATGAAGTCACACCCATTTGTTTTTCTGACTTCTGACTTATCTGCTGTTATTTCCTGGAATCCATCTATATTTCTGAGTGGGGATGGGCAGGAAGGATACAGGAGTTCAAAATTCAGCTATTTGTTGGATTTTCACAGAAAGAACACCATGCAGCACAAGACACCTCAAGATACGTTCCTCGTATGCATTAAACCTCCTGAAACTGATTTTACCCTGTGGACTCTTCATTTGTACAGAAATTGAGTGAACCACAATAGAGCCTCTACATGGTTTACTAAGGTACTGTTTGGCATTACACACCACTGTAACACTATGACTCCAGTAAGTCTGAGTTTCACAGTAAATCATCTGTCTTGACTACACCTGAATGTCAGTGAAGGGTCATTGGGTTTGAAATTTGCTTATTTTTAAATCTCTGCACTTCTCTACTTAAAACATAGATGCCATGGAGAAGAAAAAATACTTGGAAAAACTGATCATAAGTGCATATTTCAGCATGAATGAGACAGTCACTGCTAAAACTATCCAATTTCAGAATATCACGTTGATAAAGTCAGTACATTATGTTTTATGAAATACAGACTGCACGTTCACAACCACCAAGTAAGAAGGCATTTTTCCCCTCTATCAACATATATTTATCTAAGCTGCTCAGCCTGTGCAATACTCATCTCAACAATTACAAAAACAGTATTTGTTGTTCCAAAGAAAATGCTGAATACAAAAGCACGACAGAAGACAATATACTGGAATGACAATTTTAATGTGTAGCATTGTAAACCAGTTAGCTTCAGAACTGAAATACATATGGAAAGTACTTAAAAAAAAAAAAAACAAAACCCACAACTCTGGTCACAGGTTATTTCTCTGCTGCACATATGTATATATTAAGCCATTAAACAGCAAAGAGTTCTTGATTACAGAGACTGCTATATATTACTTTTATCACAAGGTGGTGCAAGTGATCTACAAGCACATACACTTCCCAGAACTTAACACAATATTTTGCTTAGTACTCTCAAGCTAATATGGCATTTTTCACATGTAAAAATAGAAATTAAACCAAAAAAAAAAAACAAAACAAAACAAAAAAAAAACCAGCAAAATGAGAAAATTCCCCTTCCTCTTGATCCAATTTGGTGCATACCTTAGCTCAGAATACTGCTTCAGCCCAACATGGAAATTTCCAAAGTTTTCAACATGCTTTTAGCTGTATGCTCCGAAGAGAAGAATACCTGGAAAATGATTCTAGCCATTGTCAGGTCTGAAACATATTTATTTTACAAAGCATAGGGTACCTTCAGATCAGACGTTATTGATATGCTATTTAATTTCCTAAGCTCAATGAATTCAGGAATAAGTTTTATTTTATACACAGCAGGTGATTACTACAGTTATGCTTATTAACATATGTTAATACATTTAAATGCACTTCCACAGCAACATAACTGAGATGCAGCATCATTTTTGGCAGAAAGCTCAAAAGGAATTTTTGAATTCCGATCAGTAGTACACATCCACTTCAATGAATCCAGACAAAGCACTAACACCCCATCTCGTTTGCTCCCTGTCTGCATGGAGCACACAACTGTGAAAGTTAACTGGTGCAAAATCATTCTTTATCAATCTAAAGCAGTGTGATTTAGATTCATAACTAATTCCTTGATATTAATATTGTCTCTTGCAGATAGAGCATAACAGTTCATTATACCTTATGTATGAAATACTGATGCATTTGCACTCCAGTTACAAAGAAATTACTCCATATATTTTTATATGACCAAAACATGAATTATATATATATATAAAAATATGTACGAATGTATATATATATATTTTTTAAGAGTGCTTGACTTAATACAAAACAAAATATCTTTCTTTTATCTCAGTCCTAAAACAATTTATGTCCCTCTTCCACCAAGAAAAATCAATGAGTGGTAACTAGTCAGCTGCATATGGAACATTTAGACCAACCTACAGGATATGTAAAGCAATCTCAATACTCATCCATGATTGTTAATGCATTAACATGAATTCAGATTTTTGGCAGAATTATGCATATGTGGAAAAAGAACAGTGCAGCTCCAGCAGCCAGAAAAGGCACATACACTATAAACTGGTGCCATCTTGGGTGCCCAAGAAGGCTAAATTCAGTTTTAGCCCATTTTGCTGTAACATGCTACAACTAGACATCCAAAATCCAAAAGATATTTACTTATAACTTCCTGCTAGGGGTGGAAGAGGATTGTTTTCTGCAGGCACTTTTCACTAGCTTTTGATAGCTCATCAGAAAAATGCATGATTCAAAATATGACAAAAATCAATATAAAGTAGAACCAGCTTTGTATGATAACATGCAGTTATTCAACAGAATTTTCCAGTTAAAATGTTGATTTCTACTTCACAATGTGCCCTGGCCCTTTAAAGATCAACAGGCATATGGCTGTCTCAAAGGAGAGAAAGAAAAACACCTGAACTTCCTGTTTTTTAAGTGTTCTCACTCAAATGTATGTTACAGCATCTACAGTAGTAGCCTCAAGGGCCAGTAGTATTTTTCTGAGATTTTTAGACATTTTGCCCATATTCAGACAGTCTTAGATCTAAGGCACTGGTCAAAGGCACTAAAGTAGCAAATATGAAGTATGTATGCAAGGAGGACTTCTACACTTTGTTCTGGCACTCACTACTGTCACGAAGTTTTCTTATGGTGCTCTAGTAGACACAGAAATATGAAACATTCCAGATTTGTTGCAGCACGTACATACTTACCTGCTTGGAGATATGCCCTTTTTTCACATCAGATTGTTTTTACAATCACTGAGAAATTGCATTGCTTGGTGTTGATCCCCACTCAAGAAAGTAACTGAAGAAAGAAACACTCTCACTGGCCATTTATCAAACAGGCAGCCATTCTGCTCTTCATCATTCTCCTCCCTCTCTCTGCATAGTCAATCTCATCTTTTTCCCCCTCTATTAGTTTTCAAAATAAAGCACATCCATATAACATCTATCCCATAAATACACATTGAATACTAAAACAATTACAATTTTGGCCTTCAGAAGACACTCTTGGCAAACTGTTTTGTAGGAAAAAGCTAACACATTAACACAGAGGTGTGCGTATGTACAAAGTCTGTAGGTACACCAAGTAAAGAAGGCATGAAGACTCAGCTTCCCCACTCAGCCCACTCACTTTGCAGCAGAATTCTTAGGAGGTTGCAATTTGTAGGTGCTGAAGTAGTTCACCACCTGCTGAGGGACTTCTGCCAGGACGCACTGAGCCAAAGCTTCCTTTGGAGACTTAAAAAAAAAATTAAAAAAAATAGAGAACATGAAGTTTCCATCTCTACCAACTGTTAAAGGAAATCCTAAGACAGGCATTAAGTATCTCCACTAGTAAGAGGAGTTAACATCTGACATTTACACAGTACCCTTGTAGGATAAACAGAAGTTCCCTTTTTATGTAATTTTTACTGCAAGATAAAACAACTCTTGAAAAATATTGCCACTTTTTCTAGGAATAAAAAAAAATTTATAAATAATTATACACAATATTGATATTGCTCTCATTTCAGTTTATTTTACCCATCACAAAGAAGTCTTCAATTTTTGTTTTTAATTCACTTCTTTCAGAGATTGGACTTCTATATGTCAGTCTATGTAACCTGTGCATATTTTACTGGGTTGTACAGCAAAAAATCAAGACCCAATTGACTCATGTTCTGGGAAGTGAGAAGTATATATATGTATATATATCTTTCTTTTAATGAAAACTACCACTACTTTCTTTCTACACACAACTTCTAATGGTGAACCACCTTACCAACTTACACTTCAATTCTAGCACCACATTAAAACGTGACACTCATCTACATTTAAAAATGGACATGACCACAATAAGAAACACTTTTCCATAACAGAATCACAGTAATGCCTTCCTCCAAAATGAAAAACACATCCTCTTGTGTAATCTAATCTCAGGAGGCTTTACAATGATCATTCACCTGTAACAACTTGTCAGAAATGCATGCCAAACTAGGCATGCATTCTTTAAAACATGAATCAGCTCACCTAACGGAAACTCTACAGATGCTAAAAGTCTTTGCTCTTACTTTGGAGCATTTGATTAATATATATCTCAGACTTCAGATCTTTTTAACGTCACTGCAAAAGCTCAGAACTGTATATAGGATATCCTAGCAAACCTAGTATGCCTCCACAGTTTTTACATACCATGCCATTAAAATTACTTACATTTTGGAACTTCCTAAATGGCACAAACTGGACTATGTCTCTGACAGCTGGTTCTCCTGATGAAGACCTAAGAACTCCATTGTCACCATCAAGAAACTCCATAGCATCAAAGTCTGCTCCTCCAACACCAACAATGATAATGGACATGGGCAATTTTGAAGCATTAACTATGGCAGTTCGAGTTTGATCGAGGTCTGTTATCACACCATCCGTTATGATCAGAAGAATAAAGTATTGCTGTCAAATCAATTAACAGTGTGTTATGATAGAAAGAGACAACACATGGGCATATGTGCTCAGAAAACATAAGCAAAGGCTATATAGTGTCGTGACTGTAAACAAGTCCATTGCACTCACTGAAGTTACAAATATTTATGTTTTGCTCAGGCTTCTGTACAGTCCAAAGCAATTGATTTGGACAATAAAATGTTCTAATATAAATCATCTTTCAACACTCCTTTCTGAAAAAACAATCCCATCACGCTTCCTTTCCTCTCCAAAATCCCCAAATAAACCCAAATAACATATCTTCCAAGTAGTGTCCTGAGTTATGAGGCAGTTTACTGAAGTTCCAAACAGAATACAGATTGCAATTGAAACTCTCATTTTTTTTTTTCCTCTTCAGGTCTAACAGTACCCTTATGAAACACTAACCTTTGCTTCATTCATTTAAGAAAGGATGAGCGGGAGAATGTAACCAAGAGAAACAGAAAATGCCTCTTCAGAATTACTAACTCTTAATATGGTCAGCAATTTGCACATGTTTAGGTCACTCTGAAAGTAACACCTTCTGTTTATTTCCATGGAAGCTACAACAGATAGAAAGAACATACACAATTCGATAGAGCAAATTCTCTACTACAGAACATTATTTTTCAACAGTCACCACCATTAGCTGTGCAATTTTGCCAGCAGTGAACAAGAGCCTGCATGCCATGCTCACAAAAATCTGTACCAGTGGAGATAACCCACTGTTTCATGGCTACTATGATGGCATGATTCCTAGGAAGACGTTGCAAATGCAGTTCATCTTTCTTAGGTCCAAAGAGACAGAAGTGAGAAGACACCAAATCCAGTCTACACACTGGGTGTGGTAGGACACTCCAGCCAAAATAGGCAAAGCACTCTAAGGTCTTCAAACTGGTATGGAGTCCACTGTTATCATGTTGCAAGATAGAGGTTGCTGTTCTCTGGTCTGATCCCTGGAAGTTCAAGCCTTCAGCTTAGTCAGTGTCAGGATGCAGTAGTCAAAGCTGATGGTTTGTTTGGGTTCCAAGAAATCCAAAAAAGATCACCCCTTTCCTATCACAAAAGGCAATGCGCATCATCAACTGAGGAATGCACCTTAACCTTTTTCTCCGATGGGGAATTCATGTCACCAGTCCATGGATCACCATTTTGACTCATGCTCCTAGTGGTGACACCAGGTCTTGTCACCAGTAATGATGTGATCCAGGAAAACCTTCACCTACAGCCTTGTACTGGTTCAACAGATCCTCACAGACTTGTATACAGTGTTCCTATGAACATTCTTGAGACTCACCAGGCCCAAACTTTGCAATATTCCAGCACAGCCACTATTATTACCAAGGCCATTATTTGGCTCTGCACACAATTCCCTGGTTCTAATTCCAGGATTCGTGTGGATGAACTGATAATTGCTCTTCATCTTGTGGTGTGGCAGCTGCACACAGTCATCCAGAAAAATGGCATGTTTTTCACATCACTGTCATCACTGCTGGAATGCACTACCCCCCGCCTCACTGTATTAAAAACCACTGCTTAATATCCATAAACATTCAGCAAGCATTAATAAACATCAGTGAGTGCATGAAGGAATTCAACGACTTTACTTCACCCCACACTTCCATATCAGATGCAGTTTTGTCAGACTGCCCCCTGCTGCCATCATATGACAAGACATAACAGAATATTGGTGGGGAAATTACAACCTCTACTGCCATGCCATCAACAATTGCCTCTAACATACTGGGCCAACATAATAAAATAGGAGGCATTACTTTCAGAGCAACCTTTGTTTTAATATGTAACTGGGTGGAAAGGGCAAGGTACACAGCACCTACCGTTTTTTGATAAGGACAGTTCATTGTCCATGTTAACATCCATTTACTATTCCTGTCTTCTCTTGTTTATTTGATTTTGAGTTTTCAGTAGAAAACGTCATTAAGATAATGTATGTTTTTAAGTTTAAGTACCAACTCTGAAAAATTTACTTTGATAATGAGAATTGTGAACATTCTGCTAGAATAAGCTAGATTTTATCTAGTTTCAAAGATAGCAAAAATCAATTCACAAGGTAAATGGACAGCTGTTAAAACAGGTACACTTAAAAGTTTAAAAGAAAAAAAGTACTTATAAACAAGAATAGAAAGACAACTGAAAAATAAACACACTGATAATGAACTTACAGATGCTGTTTGCTGCTGCATGGCTGCAGCAGCAAATCTTGCCACATGATTTATAATTGGAGAAAAATTGGTTGGCCCATATAACCTCACTTGAGGAAGACAAGCACGATATGCATCAACAATGCCTTGGATTCCTAGAGAATATAAATAGTGTCAATGTACTCCTTGCATAATAGAATATTTTGAAGCACTCAATTTTTCTAAAAAATTATCAGTTATCTAAAGTAGCGGTGCAAAGACGTACAGCCAACCATGAAGATAAAAACTAAACTATTCACAAGTAATGGAGGCTTGGTTTTATGTCAAGAATATAAAGGTCAAATACTGTATGTCCAAGTATGTGCAACTAAATTTCAGCAGTTCTCTTTGGCTGGCAATTTGTGGTAATTAGCAATGTGATCAGAGAGCCTATGCTGAACAGAATCTTGCAGCATAGTACTCAAATTAGAAAAATCCACATCAGCAGAGTTTACCTGTACTGTGACTCTAGCTGTTATAAAAGGTTTCTTCAAGTCACTTCAGAAGAGACCAAAATGCTACTTCTGTTAATTAAGATGCAGGTTATAAAATTGTTTCCTGATAATGAGATGACTAATCTCATCTAATTAATGTGAGCAACATGTACCACAGTTCTCTTTTCAAATGCTTTTTTTTCATCCTTTCACATTAGACATTTTATTCTCTATGTCTGATGTTACTTTCTGTCACTTACCATTACAGAATGGGTTTGATGGGTTAAAATTTATAGGGAACTCATGTGACACCTGTTAATACACAAAAATCAGTCAGGAATATACATACAATTCCTTCCTAAAATACATGTTTTTAATTGACTTATGGATTTACATGCTCTATTACCTGATAGGAAGGAGGAATCTGTGCACCAAATCCAAAGACTGGAAACATCTTATCTCTAAAAAGGCAATTTTAAAGAAAATGAAATTATTGTTTTCCTCTAAAAGCTGTCCTACTTCAGTAAGTTTAGCTAATCAGTACTGCCTTTGGTCATTAAAAATGCAGTTAAGAATTAAGAGGCAAAATTGGGTGCAGTTCTCCCTGTAATTGGTTCTATGAACAAAACAAGTATTTAAAAAATATTCTATTTTCCAAATTGGAAAAAAAAAAATAAAATCAAACATTTATTTAAATTAATGAGGCTCTTTACATCACAAATATAAAAGCTTTACTTGTTCTGCTGAAAATACAAATTTGCCCCTGTGATTATGCACTTGTGTAGTGACTACATAGTCTTTTTTAGCCCTACATTCAGCTCAAAACTTTCACTGGCACATCTGCTGGCTATAAAAAGCTATTCAGACTCTAAACAATGACTTAAAAAAAAATAAAACTTACGTATCATAATCTTGAATGACCATCCCTACGGACCAAATGGCTGTTAGGTATTCATTAACTCCATCAGGGCTTAGGTAGTGAAGGGAGTCAGGAGAGCGTGGATCTCCATTGGAGCCTGTGAAATCTATGCCCACCTGCCAAATGCAGTATTCAAAACAAGCTGCTGTTTGAGGTGAAAATGTGCATCTAATCACAGACAAAGCCAAAGTAAGAACTACAAAAGAATTATAAATGTTATTACAAAAATCTAACAGGCCCAATACTTAAATGCAAGTTTCTTGGAAGTTTAAACACACATAAAACAATACCACCACAAAAATAGTAGAAGCCCTACATCTCTTGGAAGCACTGAAATTACTTCATCTGTCAGGTTTTTTTTGGCTGTGTTTACTTTCAGTTACCATTCACAGCAGCTCTTTAACAGCTGTGAAAATAAGCTGTTTCTTGTCAGTTACCTCTTTCTGCTCAGACGTACAACTAGACAGACCCAGTGGAAGAACTATTTGTAGACCTTCTCTGACCTCAAGAGGTCATCATCTCTCCACTGATGATGAGGCACTTATGCAGTATTAGTTTCGTGAACTACAGCTTACATGCCAGATCCCACATGGTGGCTTCTGGATTTTACTTTCATTTAGCAAAGGGTCTTGAAAACCACAATCCTTGGTAAAAGGTAAATCTTTAGTTAGGATGGAGTTGGCAAGCAGAAGAAGCCATTATGGGAGAAAAACAAAACAAAACAAAAACAACCAAAACCTGAATAAAGTCTGAACATCAGAGAACTCTAAATTTGTCCTTGATTTTCTTCCACACAATTCAGCACATCCTTTCTGAAAATAACCACAGGTTTATCTTTATATTGTGAGCAAAGAAAATAATTTTTCCTAAACAAACCAGATAGGACACTGGCAAAAGTGTCTCCTTTGCATTCGGTTTATGTGGCAAGGTGTTGCCAATGGAAGGAAGCTCTGTAAGATCTAAAGGATGCTTCCAGATGGCTCTCCAGCAGGGGAACAGTGCGAGAAATAGACTGAACTGTCTACAACCCCTTTTCCCAATCATTCCTACACCACTTGGTAGAGTAGAGGCAGAAGAGTCAGAAACAAAGCTGATTCTGGAAAGAGCATGTGGAAAGAAAGTATTTTTCAGTTTTATTTATATTTATCGCTATCTTACTGCATTTTTAGTTGCCAATAAATTGAATAAACCTTCCTCAAGTCTATTCTGCCCATGATGGTAATCAGTGAATGATCTTATCTTTAGCCTGACCCAGAAACTTTTCGATCTTCTCACCCTGTACTTCTAAGTAGGGGAGTGATAGCATGGCTTAGTGACCAGCCAAGATTAATTCAATACACTCCTCCACAGTACAGAACAAAATCTTATAATAATCAAATGAAGAGCACAGGCAATCCACAATACACTTCAGTTTGTCTCCAAAGTTTTGAAGTTGTTCTATATAGAGGATTTAACTTACTGTGAAATTCAGCTGACACCCACCCATGATGTAATCAAGGAATGTACATTCTACTATGATCTGAAAACAAAAGATAGAAAGCAACTTTTTTTTTTGAAAGGGAGAACAATAAATATTGTTGGAACCACTTCTGAGGTTTCAGATTTCTTATCTTTACTCATACAAATCATTACTTTCACTCTATCAGTATAACTCTCACTGTAGTGAGGATATTTACAGTCAACGCTATCAGCTACACTTTCATTGGAATCAGACTTGTTCCAAAGGTTCTTACAAACAGACAACGCAGCAACTCTGAAAGCACTATCATTTATAAAACATATTAAGACTTAGCAGATTCTAATTATGAAATTGAGTGTTTCAGGAATGGCCTTACAAATTGGTAGGCAACCTTCAAGAGAATACTGAAGGGGATAGAGGTGGGAGACAGCCTCAATGGCAGACATTATATAAATCAAAGCCCTTGAACATTTACTATTTCTGCCAATTATACACATTTTGAAATTTCTTAGTTTGAGAATGAGGTACACTTGGTGAGAGCTGTAATGCATGAACAATCAAAAACAAAGTAATACCAGAATATACTACTCACCTCACAGTGCTTAACACTCACAATTCCAGAGTTTTTGTAGTTTTTCTTCTTTTGTCTTTTCTTCTCGTTGATGCACTCAAATTCAACCTGCACAAATGCCAAAGAAAACAGAAGTACTATAAATATTATTTATGCAACACTTTCAGAAATTCTTCCCTCTAGCACCCATACATTTGTTTTTAAATTGCTTTTTGTTTCACTACCAAAAATAAACACAGCAGGCCCAATATCAGCAAGAAAAATCCTATTATCCTCCTATAAAAAAAAAAAACAGATAACTCTCCTATCAAAAGCTTGCAAGAAAGTTTATTTAGACAGCTGTGTTTTAACTATATGAAGAAACTCAGTACAATTTTCTGAGGATTCTGCTGTCAAAGACACAGCAATTCAGGCAAATCACTACTCCCACAGCAGTGGCAGTCATATAATGAGATATAAGGTATACATTTAAGCTTCCAAAAAACTAAACTAATACTTTAACCACAAAGTGGGATATGTAGCTAGCTATGTTAATGGCAATCACTACTGCCACAGTGTAGTGTATTTGGTGCATAAGAAGTCAGAGGAGCTATTTCAGCCATAACATCCGACCTGCTGCCAGAAAGACAAGCTTCACTTCTTTGGTTTAAATTAAACTACATTAAAAAAAAAAAAAAAAAAAAAAAAAAAAAAGTCACTTTGCCAATTAATCTCAAGTGAAAAAAGGCACTGGGTACACTAACCAGGTCAGTACCTGAAAATTCTATATGCCTCTTCTTCTTTCCTCCTAGAAAAAAAATCTTCCAATTATAGCCGATACCATAATTGTCTGAACTGAAGAACACACTTGGGAGTACAGATACTCCAATTCCAACACACACTGGAAATATTTTACAGATCTTATCAAATGATTCAGAGGATGTGAGATTAGAAATTAGTTATTTTTGAAAGAAAAAGCATACTGCATAATATCTGCATTATCTTGTATCTTTACTCCATATTACTGAGAGAGTGAAAGTAAAGGAAAAAATATATAGGAAAATATAAGGAAACCAGAATTTTCTGCAAATAACACAGAAAATTAAGAAGCAATAAATGGAACCCTGTAGTAACTCAAAATGAATTCAGGAACAGATATCGACAAGAAAAGCCTGGCAAGGCTCAAAACAATAAAAAAAAAAAATCCAGAGTCAACGCTGACTCCTCACCATTAACAGCTCTGAAGAATTTAGTGCAAATACAACACTCAAGAGATTAGAAAAGTACAGACAGGCACTCAGTATATCTTATTATTGGCAATGCAAGAGTGATTCTGAAGATTTTAAGAATAAAGGAAAAGATGGTAAAATATTTTGGCAAAATATATGTCAATAGAGCACTTTACTGCTATGGTTATTATATCTTCTTTCATTTTTTGGAATTGAAACCGTTTATTACAAGGTTTGGAACTCATTAGAACACTAAAAGTAAATTCACTTTAAAGGAGAGCTAACATCCAACTGAACTATACATTACAGTTGTTAAATGTCATACTTTACATAATTTTTTAAAATTATTTTCTTCTTTTGCAGAGGAATTTTTTTTTTTTCAGCCTAGATATTAGGCCCAGAAAAGTGGATTCACAGTGTAAATGTTGAGACAGCTTCAACTACAGCATTGTTCAGCTGTAGCACAATACAACTGAGGTACCAAAAAAAAAAAAAAAAAGTGATGTAAATTTTGTTCTGAAATCAGTAGAACAGATCAAAAATATACAAGTAGTTTAGACTATGTAAGACTTACAGGTGAGGACCGAGATGCTTCCTTCAGTTTTGACATCGTGGTTTGGAAACTTCCTATGATATCATGAGACCCATCACTATCATAGTCATAGCACTCAACCTAAAATGAAGCATTACCCATTGTTATTAACAGAAGTAAGCCTACAAAAACAATCAACACTGCAATGGTATTTTTACATAAGCCTGAACATACAAAACATTCCTGGAACTCTTACATCATTGACTTTTTCTTGTGTTGCAGTCTTAGGTTTATACAAGCTTTTAATGATCATGGATTTCAACAGGGTAAAAGCCAAACTACCCAGTTGCTGATCTGATCCTCCACTGAAGTGAAGAGTTGAGAATGCTAAATACTGTCGGGTCTCAAGCAAATTTAACATCGAGTATCTAGCTTAAAAGAAAAATTGCTGAATTGTTAGCTCTCAGGAGTTTTATTCATACTTAAACAGCACATTAATCTGAAAGATAACTCAGAATTTGTAAGTATATGAAGGTTCAGCTTTAAATGTAGAAAGGACTTCATTTTGTTCCTAATACTAGAAAAAGTAGAGTCTCTATGATCCATGCTTCATATATCTGAATGTCAGCTAAAAATCACTCCTTGCCTGTATTCAGCATTTAATGGTAAAGATTCAGTATTCAAATAATTCATCTTGCAACAAACACCTCCAACGCAGAAAAAGGAGAAAACACTTTTTATTTTTTTCCTGTTTGAGAATATATTAGTTTAAGTGAACATATTTTTAATCACTGTTACTTTCACCATAATGACTTTTTTTGAAATCTAAAACTCCAAACATTCCCCAATTAAGTAAAAATCTATGTAAGTGCACACACTAGTTCCATCCACTTCTGATATTTTACTATAATTTTGCGTGCTAGTTAACTTACTGTAATTGATCAAATTATAGAAAAATAACTTTAAACCAATTAAAATATTAGAATTGAGAGTCCAAGAAGGAATTATTTTTGAAAATTATTTTGAAAAGATAAACTTAAAAAACAAACAAACAAAAAAAAAACTTCAAGAATATGATCCTATATATGTATATAAAACTGCACAGCTTTTTTCATATTTTTCTTTCAACACTGAAAAAGTCTTGCTATATTTGAGAAACAATTCAATTCTATTGCCACTTCATTTGGGAGTTACAATGAAAACCAAACAATGTGAACATACAGGTCTGAATTCCTGAGAGAAATTATCTTTCAGAAAACAAGCAATAATGCCAAAGCACAAAACATGATGTGGAGATTCTAAACTGTGAAAGCATGCCTCAATGTTGCAGTTTGCACCATCCCTATAACATTCTGTATGCACTAATAACTAAAAAACACACACACATGCACTCAACAGCAACTCATATAAGCATCCACAATACCAACAGACAGATGTTCATTGCAAATGTTAGGTGTACTATTTTGAACGCCATAAGTAAGCCAATCAAATAATCAGCCAAGAGCTTTGGTACCTGAAATCAAAAACTGAAGACACTTCTTGAGTCAAAAGTTACAGTACTTGTTCACTGTTAACATTTATTTCATTTTTAAGGAATTAGTTTGTCTTGCTTGATATATTCAATCCATTGAATTCAATTGTCAAAACTTAGTCCAAGCAAGAAAGAAACATTTATTTTATTCCAAATATACTCTCTTGAACACACGGTAACATTAAGGAACCATGTGAAAAAACTGTACAAGAATTTTCCCCAGCAGAATTTGGCATGCATGCTCCAAATCAACAGCTCACATTCTCAGCACAGAAAAGCATCGCCGACTACAAACACACTCCAAAGAACACAGCAATAAATCCAGAAAACAAAGAATCAACTTGGTTTGTGCATTGCTGGGAATACACAAACTAAGCCATTAAATAGATGAAAAGCAACTCATTAGGGAAAAACTGGTACTTTTACTTACTATGACAAATAGCCCATTATGTACGTAACTGTGCGCATACAAAAGTGTTAAAGCATTATTTAATCCTTCAATAATATGATACAATTTTGTTTGCATTTTAATGTTTGAAGTGATAGCTCCTGGTTTTCTAAATTACTGCATACCAGAAGTTGGAATTCAGCCCCCTGTCTGTTTGCAAGTCAGTATCAACTCCAAATAAAATTGATTTCCTCTGGAAACAAGTCTGTGCTTCTGAGGTAAGATTCCAAAAGAATTAATTTAATCAGTGTCTTAGTTTTATCAGAGATGTTTATTAAAAAACAAAAAAAAACAAAAAAAACCCATATTTATAACATACTCAGAAGCAGTACAAGGAAACAGCTATTTCAAGGAAAAGGGAAAAAGAAAGAAATGAGAAAAGAAAAATCAAAGCAACAGCAAGGGAAGCAGGGTCTCAGGTTCAGAACTTGTGAAACTGTTCATTAGGCTGCTTTATAATTATGTACTTAAACACATACAGGTGCTTGTAACATCCACATCTCTGTGGCTGTTAAGCATTTTCCAGGACTGCCTCAAGCCACAGTACTAATATCAGTCACATGTAGTTCATGTTCTCATTTGCTTTTCCCCAAAGAACAGAAAGTACAGTAGTTTCATTTGTTGTTATTGTTTTGTTTTGTTCTTACCAAATGCTAAAATAACAGGCTCTATGATGTTCGCATTAGCTTATAAACAAAGTTTTGGTTGGCTACGTATCTTCAATTCCATCTTTAAACTATGGTAATTCCTGAAGAAAAATACTCAGAAGTTAAACATAGTTCACTCAAGGTAAGACCTGAAATGCCGGAGTTAAAGATAGTCCTTGTAAAACTGACTCCACAGATTTTGTTAACCTTCTGACAGAAGGTGCAGTTTCACCTGAGGAGAAAAGCTGCTCTATCTGGAATCTACAAGATGATACACCTGGTCCACATTGGTTATCTCAGCTTGCATATTAAGAAAAAGTGCAATTAATTACATCAGGGAGCACAATAAGAGTTTCATTAGTGTTAGCATTAGTATTGCACCAGTTACAGTGTTACACAATCCATAGCACAGAATAAAGCATATTCTAACCTCCACCATGCAACTTTACTGTACAGTATCTTAAGGCCACCAATACTGGCTGATGAAACATTGTAACTTTAAGAATCTAAATGACAAACTGACTTGGTCATTCCAAAGCCACTTAGGGCTCAGACCATCGAAGACCAGCTATGAGTCTGAAATTGCAAGATGTGAGATTTTACTTTTTTTCTTCCCTCAAGTGTGCCTATACATAAATGGCTTTCAAATTAATTTAAAACAAAAGCTCTAAGACTTCCATTTGTTTTCAAACAAAAAGAAACAGTAAGTAGAACACATTTCCCACAAATTCATATATATATTTCTTATACATTACCTTGATGGGCTTATCCATGTCACTGTAGCACAGAGAATTGAGAGAGATTTTAAAGGGCCTCCAAACAGGATTCAAGTTGTTTTTAATAACCTGGCAGAAAAAAAAGCCAGATTAGTATGGTTCTTAAGAGTGAAAAGTAGTCATCCTCAATTGGTCATACCTTCATACAACAAACAAGACTGTTGACTAATGCTGCTGTCAATCACTTCCTGAAATTAAAATCTTAATGTATAGGATATAAATAAATAAAACATTCTTAAAATGCAGTATCATTGCCCAACAGAGATGGGATCTTTTCAACTCTATTTTCTAGACTTCACTGTGACCTACTATCCAACTCAAGTACACTGCAAAATTTTACATTTCTTTATACTTAAATACATAATGACATTGGGATATTATTTTAACATTTTCCCCCCCTTTGTTATACAAGCAACATGCACACAAACACAACATACCAAGAAAAATGTGGAAAATTATTACATTTCTGAACACAGCAGTGCTCTGGAGATTACTTCTCACTCCAGCCAGGGTTTATTACGAAATACTACTTACAGAAATATATGCAATAACAGAGCTTGAGGACAAAAGGACACCTTGCTGCACATGGTCTCTCAAGCTTAAATTTAATCAAGTGATGTTTAGGAACACCACTAGAAGGTCTTCAGAATTTGTCAACTAAAAACTGTCCAGATACAAAAAAAAAAACCAAAACAACAACAACCTTCATAATAAACAAATACTTAATATCTTAATTAATACTTAATATTTACAATTCCAGCATTGCTGATATTTAGGGATAGAGATATTTATTTTGAAAATCAACATAGTAAATAATACAAATAAATGAACACGTAAATTAACACAAAAAGATTTTCAAGATCTGTAACATACAGAAATAGTCTTCCAATCAATTGCAGCCTGGAACAGCAAATTCTGGATTCATTATTTAAACTAAAGATGACTGTAATCCTTGTGGAAAATATACCTTTTATGCAGGAGAATGGCCTCGTGAGAGAAAAACTGGTTTTATAAGCCTCACACAAAAGAACTCATACCTCAACGTCTGTCTCACACAAATATGGTCATACTCCTATCAATGTGCACACTACCTAGCTTTTGACTAGAGCTTGAGCTTACATTACAGTGAGACATTTTGAACCTATTCCTACCCTCTCAGTCACTGCCATGGAACCTCTGCCCCTCCCAGCCAGAAGGCTGCTGCTGCTTACATTTTCCCAAACTCCACATTGTCCTTGACATGCCCTTGCTATGCAAGCATTCAGTATAATTCCTTTCATTAGTAAGCCAGTACAGCTAGGAGACACTGACATGAAAGAACAGCACATTTGCATGTCCAAATTCTACATTTAGAGTAGCACTTAAATGTTTTGAAAAGGAACTATATACTGACAGACTTGTCTTCTAAATTACAGAAAGTTTTAAAAAAATAGATGGCATAAACCACAACCAAAGTGAGGTAAACTTTCTGTCCTGTAGAAGAGAAAGTCAGTGGAACAGATGAGGTAACTTCTAACAAGACCACATGTCCTGGGTCAGTATGACACACTGCAAATCAAAAGAAACTCAACTCTAAGTTGCAAGCAAAAATATCCTACCTCTGTTCTGTGAACCATCACCCAGTTTCCATCTGCAGTCTGCTTGTGGAATTCCAGATAAGGATCTGACTTTCCAAAAAAATCCTGTATTTGAAGAATACATAATTATCCCAGAACAGCCTGTGGCATAAACACCATTAAATGCCACTTAAAAAACAGTTAAGATAAAAAAAAAAAAAAAAAAAAAGTAAAGCAAATATTCAGAGAACAAACACTTCATATGAAGAAATGTCATTTTGGTTACATTTCCTCTTCTGAAAGACAGAATTTCACTTTAAGATAAAGTTCTGCTATGACTACATACTACACACTCAACAGTTCAAGCAAACGAATACTTTGAGGAATAAGCATTAGGATACATAGGAAGTAAAGCTTTGATCTAATTAAAAAAAAAATAATAATCATAAAATCAGCCACGACAATTGATAATACTTTTTCTGTTATTGAAATTACAATAAAATTTTGTACAAACAAACACTTTACAAGCACCAAAACATTTAACAGATTTATACACTCTACTTGAACTTTCTAATATTTTTTAGAGCACTTACTAGTAATCAGTTATATAAATATTCAAGTCAATAGATCTAGCAAAACTCCCTTACCTACACAATTAAGCGTAACACCATCCATTCAAATGGAGGAATGCTGTCCACAAAATATCCCTACAACACACCCATTAAATTTAGAAGTGTTACAATTCATTTGAACATGTGCAGTGAAGTTGCTCTGAAGCTGCCTTCCTTCAATTTCTGTTTTTAGTGTAAGCAGAATCTTAGTTGATATCATCAATTGAGCAAAAAATAAGACTGAATATTTTGTTTTGTCTTGTGACAACATTCTGATTTCACTGCTTTATCAATAAAACAGCAATCACTTAAATACCTTATTGTCCAATTTCCTCGCTTCTACTTCAAATAAGACAACTCTGTTATCCTTCACTTCTTCTGCTGTAATCTAGATAAGCAAAAAGTAATTATTTTGTATCTAGAAACAATAATTTTCTTATTCTGTTCACAATATTCCTAAGATAATTTCATTTTATAAGCCATGCTTGCTCAGAAAGAAACAAGTAAAAAATTGGGGCAGGAGGAGTGACAATTTAGTTTGACATTGGGATCCACTAAAGCAATGACACTACATTGAAGATACTGCCAAACGTGATTATTCGGATGGATGCAATGAGCCAGAAACTGAGCAACTCTCCCTTTGGATGACAAAGAAATAATTGCAGAGAAAAAAAAAATACTATATGACATTATTCATAGCAGTGTAGATGGGATATACTGTGCTCAAGCCTCTACATAAGTGCAACAAAACAAAATTTATGGACAAATGCTGAAGAATGTTATCGTCTTACCGTAATACTTCCTTTCCCAGCAGGTCTGCCATTTTTAAGTACTAATGGTTTCGTTAGAGTCTTGCTAGAAACTATCTGCCAAGATAAAATTTGAGCATCAAGCACTGTTAAAGCAATGTTTAATTGCTTTAGATTTAGACTTAGATTTCCAAATAAATGAAATAAGACAGTGATGTATTTTCATTTTGAGAGCTTTTCCTTTATCGTGAAGATGACAGGCAACGGCATTGTATTTATTTCCCACGGTTTCCTACAGATAAAATAGGTAATACTTGGTATAGTTTCGAAGTCAAAGATACCAATGCAGCCAAACACATACCGAATTTCTGATGAAACTGAAATAAAATGCAATGCAGTAACACGATACACACCTGGATAACAATTTCTTACATTCCATTCTCAAACTGTTCTCAGAGTTTCCACACATACTTTTCAACCATGAGTCACTTTTCACAAACATCTTCAGTAAACAGATTTATGAAGACAATATACAACGTGCAAACAAATGTCACCTCTCTCAACAGTGTTTCTAGATGGCTATTTTACACTTTCCAAGCAACCATTTCTAAGCACATCTATTTGTCCTAAAGGCATTTCTTTAAGAATGAATTATTAATGAACTTCATTTCACAATGCTGGCAGGGAGGGAAATCCCAAGAAGACTCTCCTGAGAAGAAATGCCTTCAAAGGATGCTTTAAGAACATCTTTTAAGATAATGAAGCTGTTCAAGTGCAATAGCACCAACAGTATAAGCTGGCAAGGAAATGAGAGTGAAATCTACTTACAGTTCAAAGTAGAACCAGAATCATTGCCTGTCTTGAGTGAAAAGCAAATTACTAACATTAATGTGGCCTTTGTGAACACTCATATGTTGCTACACACCAGTTTTGTTGTTGTTGTTATTGTTTTACTTCAATGTATAAAAAAAATAATTTGAGTTTTAGCCTAAGTAAATAAATAGCACTTATTAATTTGTGCTTATTGATAATCCACTTACTTTCAGAACAACAATCTCAACAGTCATCATTTTAAAGCAAATTTTGAGGCAGTATACGAAAAGCTTTTGCAACAAACAAACAAACAAAAAAAAGACAAAACAGTATAAACTGAACTGAGAATTGAAAAACAATATGGAAACCAGTTTGGTGTTCCTCCACATACATGTGAACTTTGTGATAAAGTTAAGGCAGAAGTGCTAAACGATTTGCATTGACTTTTATTTTCTTAGTTTTAAGGGAAATCTGCATACTTACTTGTCCCAGTGTACATTCAAATTCTCCTAGGAAGTCATCATCAGCCAGTTCAATGGTTTTGTTATCAATATCATATACTCCAAATTTAAGTTTCTGAACAAGCTCAAAATAGTAATCAATTAGAAATTTCTTCGAAAATTTAGGGTTCAAGGTATTCTTAATTCTTTCTGTGCGATCAACCTGCAGTTGGAAAGATATCACTTAGCTCAGAATTTCATGAACAAACTACACCTGTGTAACACATTATTAAAGGTTGTCAGAAGTTCCTGTTAGTATAAGGACATGTCTTCCCACAAACCTTTTATCAAATGCAACTAACCACAGTACACAAAATCCACGGCTTTATTATCTGCAATCCTGTTTTCCTTTGCTCCCTGTAATGAGCATCTCTCCTGAACAGAAAGATCAACATAACAGACTGTCAAATGACTACGTGATTACAGTTTGGGAATACTTTATTTCTAAAAGTACTTTTAAACACTCAGAAAAGTCCTGTATGTTTTGGCTAGTGTTCATCAGGTCTATGTATTTATTGGAAACAACAATTAGCATTATGCTCCCATCCAGTTAAGAGGTCCAGCAAGCTAGACCATATTTCTAGCAGATTCAAGAGAACCATCATAGCGTACCTCATACCACTGCTGACCACTTGTATTCTGGAGAAGAACACACAGCGGGTCTGACTTGGAACCAACATCCTTATCCAAAAGATTTGTGCAGGCAATAGTCAGCTCCACCTTAGTCACACACTGTGCTGCCATTTCTTAAGCTAGAAAGCAACAACATATACTTATTTTAAAAATGGATTAGAAAGCAAACACAGGGATTGTCACAGTGAATTAATTATTTGACTGATGATTAGAATCATTAGCTTGTCAGGAGTGAGATTCAAGGCTCTAAATGCCATTTCAGAGATTTATGATGTACCAGCATTAAAGTATTACCGTCAGATTCTCGGCTTTGCCGCATATGGATAAAACCTCAAAGTCTGCAAATGTGAAACAAGATCGAGTGTCTCAAAATGCTTGAGGAACAAAATGTAAAACAGGGAACATCACAAAGAAGGCACAGTGGCCTGGACTGCTGACAATAAAACTTCACAAACTTCACATTTCATCCAATGAAACCCACACGAATGCCAGCAACTCAGGATGTAGATGTCAACAACAA